GGACTGAGGGGCCCTGGCAGAGCTGGGGGTGGGGAGCCCAGGGCTGGGCTAGCAGGGGCTGTGGTGCGAGGCGAGCGGCGGTACCTTCCCTCCTCTCGGTGTAGTACTTCCCGAAGGCCTCGTCCCGGGGCGTGCCGGGGTACAGGAACTTGAGGGGGTTCTCGGGGATGTTCTCGGCGGCCACCAGCTGGTAGTCGTGGATGATGTCAGGCAGCGGCAGCGACGTCAGCTCCGTCCTGGTGTAGGGCTCCACGGAACGGACCTTGGGCTGACCTGGGAGGGGGAGTCGGGCACAGCGGGGGGAGAGGGGGGTCACTGCCAGGCAGAGCCCCAGAGATGGGACAGGCTGCACCAAGATCTCCCAGTGCTGGGAGGAGAACCCAGGAGTCCGGGTTCACAATGTCCCATTCCAACCATTAGGTAACACTGGCCCCGCCCCACGATAAATGGCACCCAGTGAGGGGCGCAGGGGCCTGGGAGCCCGGACTCCTGGGTTCACTTCCCCAGTGCAAGCGCCTGGCGACAGAAGAGCCTGGCTCCGGGCCTGGGGAGCAGGGGGCCGCGCCCTGGGGCAGACCCACCTTTCTCCCCGGGCTCCACCCAGCTGCAGGTAATGCCGCCCTCGCGGCTGCTCTCGCTGAAGCGCAGCAGGAAGGTGCCCATCTGCTTTCTCTTCAGCAGCTGCCGCTCCCGCTTGCGGCTCACGAAGCCCATGATGTGCCTGGAGGGGAGCGGAGGGGAGCCCGGGTCAGCTGCCGGCAGGGCCCCCCGGAGGAGCCCCCCCAGCGCCCCCTCCCCACCACGCTCAGCACCTGGGATCCTCACTCCTCCGGGGCTGCACAGCCCCTGTCCCCTTTAGCTGGGGGGGGGCAGCTGCTCCCCTAAATCCTCCTCTGCCCCTACACACAAACCCCCATAATGGGCTGAGCCGGGCCCGGTTCAGGGTCTGGGGAAAGCCAGTGGGGGGGAGCAGCTGCAGTTCTGGGTCTGACCACACGGGGGAGCAGGCACCCCCTGCACTGCTCAGATCAGCCCCCCCCAGCCCGGGTCAGCCCCCGCCAGCCCCTACCCGTCCTTCCAGAGCTGGGCCAGGTGGTCTCGGATCAGGCTCAGGATCCCGTCCAGCCAGGTCCAGAAGGAGAAGATGGGCGGGTTGTCCTGCAGCAAAGAGGAGGCGAGAGGCTGAGGGGGGGTTACGGGGGGAGGGGGAAGGGGACAGTCACACTCAGCAGCCACCTACCTTGGCGAACTTGGCCCAGGTCAGAGTGCTGGCGGGGGTGGCTTCCGGCCCTTTAAGATGGGGGCGGGAGGGAGAAAATTGCAGGGTGAATTAACGCAGCTTCTCTGGGGGGTCCTCGTCCCCCTCCCCAGACTCAGCACTGACCCCCCCCCCCCCCCCGGCAGGGACCATCGCTGTGACTGGGGGAGCGCCCTGTAACCCCCATATTCTGCGGGGATGGTGGCAGGTGTCGGGGCAGGGTTACCAGCTGCTGAAAGCCGCTGTTCTAGCTATGTGTGTGTATCATCAGGGCAGAGGAAATCATCAGAAGTGCGTTGTAGGGTTGTGGGGCTGGGAAGCGCCCAGAGACCAGCTCTCCAGAGACAACGACAAGGGGGAGAACCGACGCCGGGGGGGGCGGGGGGCCTGAACAGACGTCGTCCAGCAGAGAAATTACACACCAGGGTAGTGGGTCACCTTGTGACTCAACAACACCCCCCTAGACATGCCTGGACCTGCGTTCGCCAAGCACCAGGACTGAGGGGATAAAACAGAACTCGGGGGCCCCATGCTGGGCCTTTCTCCTGCCCCCACCTGTGCTGCCAGCAACAAGAACGCTCAGAAGACTGAAGATGCCAGCAGAGGAGACTGGCCCAGTTTCAGGGATGGAACCTGTGTACTATGAACGGCAATATCCCGCGGGGTGAGGAAAACGGCTTCGTCGATGCTGCCCCGTCTCATAGGGTTGAGAGTTTAGACTGCGGGCTTAGGTCTTATTTTCTCTTGGTAACTAACTCGGACTTTTTGCCTATCACTTAAAATCTCTCTTTTGTAGTCGATAAACGTGTTTATCTTCGCCAGCGCGTTTGCCTGAAGCGTCTGGTAAGGGGGTTTACTCAGGTTGGCAAAGGCTGGTGTACGTCCACTTTCCATTGACGAAGTGGGGAACCAATTAATAAATTCGCACGGCTCGTCTTGAGCGGAGCAGGACGGTATATTCCTGGGGTACAGGGCTGGGAGCTGGGGGGATTTGGCTGGTTCCTTTCTCTGTGTGATTCACGAGTGGCTCTGGGAGTGTTCTCACAATGGAGCTGGGTGTAGGGCTCCACACATGGTTGCGCTGAGGGATCCCAGCACCTGGAGATTAGTGAGTTAACGGGGGCACAGCGCTGCACCTTGGGGATCCCGTCACAATCCCTCCCCCCCCCCAACGCCGCAGAGGGGAAAGCCGGGTACAGGGAGAAGTGACTACCCCAAGGTCAGACTCAGGAGGAGAACCCAGGTGTCCTGGCACGTCCTGTGCTACTCCTCCCACCCTCGCTGCCCGCCCCACACATATGGGAGGGGGCAGCGCAGAGGCCAGGGGGTCCGGCCCAGCTGCTCTGAGCCCCGTGGACTTGGGGGTCTTCCCTGTAGGCTCACCCTCCCCTCAGCGCTGCCCAGAGACCCCGGTGACGGGCTACGGCCGGGACAGGCCTGGGCCTTCCCCCCCCGGGGAGTCTCTGCCTTGCAGCCCGTAGGGGTGCTAGCCAGGTGCTGACCCCCCGCTCCCCCCACTGCCGTTACCAAAGAGCTTTTCCGCCAGCATGCGCAGCTGCTCCTTGTCCAGCCCGCGCTCGGTGGCGGCTGAGAACTGCCAGCTCAGCACCTCGGCCAGCTGGGCCCAGGAGGCGGCCGGCGGCACGGAGAAGAACAGCTGGTTCTGCGGGGGGAGAGCGGGGGTTACGGGGGGGGCCTGGGACACCCCGGAACCAGATCGGGGCCCCGCCAGGCCCTGCTGCTGGGGCGGCATGGGGGGGGGGCATATGGGGCCACAGGGACGTGGCTGCAAGGGGCCCCCACACCTGGGCATAGCCGCGGCAGTGGTGGGGAACGCAGCCCACCCTGGGCCGAACCGCACAAGAGGAAGAGATGCCCCCCCCCCCAAAACTGTGGTGTCCTGACCCCCCCCGCGCCGAACTCCAGCCCCTGGCCGGCCTGCTGGGGGGGAGCCCCTCACCTTGGGGTCTGGGCTGAGCATGTTGAACCA